GAGCCGAGGCCGCCCGCGGCCCCCGGAACGCATGGTAGCTTTGCCCAGAAACCGGTCCTGGACCGCGGATCGAATTTAGGCCCAGCCAAGTCCCACCCCATGGAATTACCGGGCCAATGAGCAACAAGAGCGGCTGCACCATCCCACCCTCCCGCGAGCAGCGAAGCCAATAGGGACTCTTGTTCTGAGGCCACGCCCCCCCAGCCTCCCAGCGGCTTAGGCAACGATTCCCCAGAGAGTTACACAACCGTAAAGGGAGCGCGAAAGGGGTAGGCTCCGCCTCAGCGTGAGAGGGGAAGCCAATGAGAAGCGTTTAATTATGGAAAACCTTCGACTTCCCGGGCGCGAGTCCACGCCCCTCCCGGATGTAGGCAAAGCTTTGGTTTCGTGGAGTCGGAAAGATCAATAGACACGTAAACGAACCTTCCCCCAAGAGAAAGGGGCGGGGTCTATCCCCGAAAGAGAAGAGCGGATTGGCTTATCAGAGACCACGCCCCCGAAGGGAGGGCCGGCGGGCCTTTAGAACTGGCGCGTCTTTTCCCTTGAGCCACCTGAGCTGTTCTACCACAAAATGGTCTAAATCGGACCCGCTTTCTTTTTCTCTCCGTTGTCGTGAACATCTAACCCGTATGGTCCTGAGTGACCCTGAACCACTAAGCAATGCTTTTACCCCAACGCCTCTACCAAGGAACTGAATAGAACCAAGGCGGGCTCGCTGGACCAACAGGCCACACCCACACCGCTGGTTGAGTTTGCGCAGGCGCGCACGGAAGTGAGCTGCGGGAAGCGGAAGTCCCGCCTTTCTCGCGCTTTCTCTTCGGAGGCCGAGGCAACGCGGAGGACAGGAGCGTCCTGAGAGCGCAACCACCGCCACCATGTGAGGCCGGGGAGGCTTAAACGGCGGGAGTGGGTGGAGGGTGCAAATTTGGCCACTTACCGGTGGAAGGGGATGGGCAGAGCGGGCGCGGAGACGGAGGTTTTAGGGGTCGAGTGGGGTACTGTTCTGTTGAGTTTGAGAACGCGCGTGGGGCTTTTGACGGCGCCTGAGTTCCGGAGAGGGAACAGCTCTATCAGATAACGGGCTGGCGGCTTTTCCAAATAATTAGCCTTCCTGAAATGAATTTTAAGCGGGAGCGATTTTACGAATATAGAACCTGGAGAGGAAAACGCGGAATTGTGGGAATAACGACTTGAGATGAGGGACTATCCGGATAATTTGAGCTGGGGACGTAATTCGTGACATTTTCTAATAATGAGACACAGGAATGATTTTTAGTTATTTATCCATTGAGCAATTACTGAAGTGCTCGTGTATCAGGCATTGCTTTACCTACCTGGGGCCTATCAGTGAAGTCCCCTCCCCCAAGAAAAGTCCTCTGCTCAGCTTATGGGGAGGGGAGGGAAGAGGCAGGTGGTAAATGTAATAATAATAAACAGATAGAGTATATGGTGTGTTAGGTGACCAGGGCTATGAATAAAGAAACAAGAGAGCAGAGTAAAAACAATGCTAATGCCAGTTTTGAGAGACAGTAACTTAACTAGCACAGAAGAGCACGTGTAAAGAAAGTAAGAGAACCAGCCACAGAGATACCCGGAGAGGCATCCAGGCAGAGGCCCAGGATGAAAATTTGCCAAATATCTTAACCACCCAGGAGGCCACTGTGGCTGCAACAGAGTGAAAGAGATGGATAGATGCAGGGCCTGGTAAAAACGTTGGATTTTGCTTTTTGCACTGAGATAGGAGCCCTGAGAGGATTTTGAAGAGCGAGATGACGTGACTTAGGTCTTGGCTCCATAGAGCACTGCCGGGCAGTGTAGGGAGACCAGCAAGACTCTAGGAGAGAGGTGATGGGAGGTGCAGGACGTGGTAAGAGATGGCTGGATTCTGGATATATTTTAGAGGCAGATGACAGGCTTTGCTGACAGATTGAATGTAGGATGTGAGAGAAAGAAGAGAATCAAGTTGACACCAGTTTTTGCTCGAACTGGGAGGATGGTGTTACCATCCTGATCCCCCAGTTGCGGTCCTTAGGGATCCCACCATAGCTAATTTCTCAGGTCTCTTCCCCGAATATTATCCAGTACTGTGGATGGAGTAAGTTGAGGTGGTTGGGCATTGTGGAGCTCAGTCTAGGACAGCGGTTCTCAACCTGTGGGTCGCAACCCCTTTGGGGTCGAACGACCCTTTCACAGGGATTGCCTAAGAGCATCGGAAAACACATATATAATTACATATTGTTTTTGTGATTAATCACTATGCTTTAATTATGTCCAATTTGTAACAATGAAATTGGGGGTCATCACAACATGAAGAACTGTATTAAAGGGTCGCGGCATTAGGAAGGTTGAGATCCGCTGGTCTAGGATGTGCAAGATTGGAAATCTGTTAGGCATCCAGATGGTGAAGCCATGCGAGGCCTGCGGAGGGTGGGTGTGTTGGGGGAAAGGTTGGGAAGACGCGGGAGCGTGACCACTCCTGCTCCTGCTCTGAGCGCTCTCACCTGTGGGTTTCATACTTGCCCACTCAGGAGCCTTCTCAACAAGCCCAAGAGTGAGATGACCCCGGAGGAGCTGCAGAAGCGGGAGGAGGAAGAGTTTAACACGGGCCCACTCTCCGTGCTCACACAGTCCGTCAAGAACAACACCCAGGTGCTCATCAACTGTCGCAACAACAAGAAGCTCCTGGGCCGGGTGAAGGCTTTTGACAGGTGAGGGCTTTTTGACGGGGTCTTGGGAGGGGTTCTGTCCAGGCCTGGAGAATCAGCCCCAGCTGCAGCCCGAGGAGCCTGCATCCCAGGTTCCTCAGAAGCTAGGAGAGTAAGCACCTAAACACCCGAGGTGTGACTGTCTCTTGCTGCCCCTGCAGCCGTACAGTACAGTGGTTATGGGCATCTACTTAGGAGCCAGTCCTCGTGGGTCATGTCCCGGCGCTGTCTCTTAGCAGCCACGTGACCTTTGGCAGGTGACTGTCGTGTCTGTACAGTGACAGTAATCATGGTGGTTGCGAAGGTTCTAGAAGCACAGTATCTGGCATACAGGCGCTTCTCAATCTAGTTATTGCATAATTAGAGTGTGCACTGTTCCAGGTACTGTTTTAGGCTCTGGAGACACAGCAGTAACTAAAACAAACATGGTTCCTAAACTCAGAGAGCTTGTTATAGGTAGGAAAGCCGACAGGAATTGGTAAGTTCTACGGAGAAAAGTAAAGCCAGGTAAGAATATGGAGCACTGGGGAAGGGAGTGCTGTCTTAGATGGGTAATCAGAGAGCCCCATCTGAAGAGACAGCGATGAACAGACCTGAATAAGATGAACAAGCAATCTAGGGTCTGCGTGTTTCAGCCACAGGGAACATGCCCTTCACCAGAATTGAACCCGGGACCCTTCAGTCTGCGGGCCGACGTTCTAGCCACTGAGCCACACCGGCTCAGGCTATAATTTGTATTTTTTAGTTAGCATTTGTAAGATGCTTTCCTCACAGTAGTGTGCTGAGGCTCACTTCTGGAACATTTTGGCCACTAGCTGTTACATGAACAAGTCTCCCTCTGAGCCTCACTTTCCTCTTGAGTAAAATGGAATAAGAACAGGAAGTGCTGAGCACAAGGAAGCAGATAGACCTGGATTGGAACACTGGCTCTGTCGCTTCCAGAATGTGTGGCCTGGGGTGAGTCACATCATCCCACTGTGTTCAGTTTTCTGCTGTAGAAGTGGGAGGTAACATTAGGAAGGTTGAGAACCACGGCTCTTATCCCTTCACCTTGCTTTAGTTTTTCTTCGTAGCAGTTACCACATGACAGCATGTTACAGGGCCAGGCTCTGTTCGCTTGCTTAGCATCCTCTCCTCACTAGAATGCACACCGCATCGGGACAGGGATAATGTCTGTTTTGTTCATTGCAAGTGTTTGTTGAGTGAAGTAATGCATACTGTCTTCACGTGAGCCTACCCAGGCCCCAGGGGCCTGTGATTCTCCAAAGAGAAGCAGCTCCTTTGCTGATGCCTCCAGAAGTGGTGGGAGTTAAAAAGCAGAAGCAGCCCTAGCCAGTTTTGCTCAGTGGTTAGAGCATCAGCCCTTGGACTGAAGGGTCCCAGGTTTGATTCCAGTCAAGGACACCTACCTCGGTTTCAGGCTCAATCCCCGGCCCAGGTACATGCAGGAGGCAAGGAATCGATGTGTCTCTTTCACATCGATGTTTCTCTCTCTGTCTCCCTTCCACTTTCTCTAAAAATCCATGGGAAAGTATCCTGGAGTGAGGATTAACAGCAAAAAGCACAGGAGGGACCATTTTGTTGGCCTTCATTCTGTGCCAGGCCCTGTTCTAAGTACTTTACAAGAATGCTGATTTAATCTGTACAACAGCCCCACGAGGTGGGCACCATGAATGTCTCCATTTTAGAGAGGAGGAAACTGAGGCACGGAGGGATGATGTCGTTGCCTCAGCCTGCACCTGAGGGCTGGCAGTGCTGCTGCAGGAGGGAGGCAGCACCCACAGAGGAGGGCCGGTCCGAAGGCTGCCCCCTCACACCCGGTGCCTTCCCCTCCCTGTCCCCACCAGGCACTGCAACATGGTGCTGGAGAATGTGAAGGAGATGTGGACCGAGGTCCCCAAGAGTGGCAAGGGCAAGAAGAAGTCCAAGCCAGTCAACAAGGACCGCTACATCTCCAAGATGTTCCCCTGTGGGGGATTCGGTCATTGTGGTCCTGCGGACCCACTCATCGCTGGCAAGTAGGGGCTTGCTCCCTGCTGTCAAAACTCACTCCCCCGTCCTGCAAAGACCCGCCCTTTGACACGAGAACAATAAAAGCCTGGTGTGTTTTGTGTTTTTTTTTTCTAGTGGCATCTGTCTGTTCCCAGGGCCTGGTGAGTGGGACGGACTTGGGGGAGGGAGGCAGCTGAGCATGGGGCCAAGCACTGGGATCAGGACCTCTCCGAGCAGATGAAGAGGCCCTGTCTCTGCCCCTTCCACGCCTCAGTTTCCCTGTCTGTGAAGTGAATCGGTTGGACAGAGAAAGCTTTTGCTCTTTCCTATTTAATCTTTTCTAGCTTGTCATTACCCCGTCTCTCCTTTCTTCCTCTGAATGAGTCAGCCTTGCTTGAAATTTCTGGTCTTTTTTTCTGTTTGTTCAGTCAGATCAACATTCCCCAATGTTTACTTTCTCTGTGTCCAGCTTTGTGTTGCAATCCTGGGGACAGCAGTGCCTGAGACAGTCCTGACCTCTCCTCACTGATGGGAGGAGATACATGTTTAAAGCAGTTGGTACTCAAGGTCCTGACCAGGTAGCTCAGTTGGTAGAGTGTCATCCCGATACGCCAAGGTTGCGGGTTCCATCTATAATTAGGTCACATACAAGAAGCAGCCAATGAATGCATAAGGACGTGGAACAACACATCTATGTTTCTCTTTCCTCCTCCTCTCTCCCTTTCTAAAATCAATAAGTACAGATTTTTAAAGTGTCCAGTAACCTCAAGTGATTGGTTCTAGTGGTCTACCTTTCCCTGGCCACTCACTGTTTCATGTTTTCTCTCTCAATGTTTATCTCTCCCTCTCTCTTAAAAAAAAAAAATTTAAACAATGTTTATAAGGAAAAAGAAAAAGCAACCATGCTGTCACCTACTGAGCTGTTAGGCTGCCAGCCCTAGGCTCTGCTGATCAGACTTCCAGCAGCTCTGAGCAGGCACTGTTATTTATTGCCTCCAATTCCCAGAGGAGGGAGCTGAGGCACAGAGAAGTGGTGTCACTTGCCCAGGGACACCAGCCAGGAAGTGGTGCTGATTCAAACCCACCCTGCTCCTGAGCCTGTGGCTTCACCCCTGAGCTCTGCTGTCCTTCAAATGACAACTTAATTACCATCGAGGGAAATTCTCTGACAAACGGGAGTAGACCTGAGAAAGGAGGGCCTTACTGTTTTCCTCTGATGTACACACATCACTCTCTCCCCATCAAGATCTCTGTGTTCTGTCTGCCTGCATCTCTGTCTCTGTTCCCAGGGCCTAATGCCAGGTGGTGCAGGAGTTTGCAGAACCAAGGTCAGGATCAATATCTGACGCTGAGCTGTGGAAAGCAGAGTTTGACTTACCCTGTGAGCTGCAGAGCTAGGGATCCTGCAGCAGGAGAGGACCTGACATACACAGGGTGACATGTGGGGCTATAAAGTTGAATGCTTACTGGGTGGTGAATTGGAACAACCCTCTGAAGTAGATACTGGAGCCATTCCAGTTTACAGATGAGACAGCTGGGACTTACCCACGTCACTCAGGGAAGCAATGGAGCCACGTTCAAACTCGGGGAGCCAGGCCCTCATGAGCCGCCTTTACTGTCAGGGAACAGGCCAGAGCCACAATGTCCTAATCTGTGAAGTGGGGTCAGTGGTGCCTGGCCGGTATGGCTCAGCTGGTTGGAGCATTGTCCTGAACACCGGAAGGTGGTTTGATCCCGATTTTAGTATGTATGGGAGGCAACCATTTCTCTCGCTCTTTTCCTCTAAAATCAGTAAAATCATGTCCTATAAAAATAAAGTGGGGGCAGTGGTACTGCTGCAGGAAACTTCCCAGGCATTCGGTTCTTTTGCAGGAGTAAGGACAGCACAAGGCCTGGAGTCCCAATCTTCTGTTCAGATCTGTCCGGCCTCCCTCTGGTTGTTGACTTGTCTTCCCTGGGGGATTGAACTTAATTATCCTGCCTTTCAGGCTGGGGCAAGATTCCAGCCCAGCACCCAGCTTGGCATCAGTTTGAATTTCAGCCGCCATCACCTCCCAAATGGTTCCTAATTCACCTTTTCTTCAGTGGTGGAAACAAAAGCAGAGGCGGCAGGCATGGCCCCAGGCACACTGGCCAAGCATTCAGCACCCACCATGCTCCAGGCATCCTAAGAATAACTCATTGGAAACTCAGGCAAGGTACCGTTATACCCATTTTCCAGAATTGGAAAGTGAGGCATAGAGAAGCTGAGAATCTTCTCCAAGTCACACAGCTAATAAGTAGCCAAACTAAGATTTGAACCAGGCTATTTGTTTCCTACAGCTTTATTCTGGTTTTTGTTTTTGTTAAAATGGCAAAATTTGTATATATTTTATCACAGTAAAAGACATGGTTATAATATAACCTTCCACAGCTAGGCACTCAATAACCAAATAAATACTTGATTTTAAAATGAGATTCATTTAAATATCTTTTTATTGATTTCAGAGAGGAAGGGAGGAGAGAAACATCAGTGATGAGAGAATCATTGATCAGCTGCCTCCTGCGCGCCCCCTACTGGGGATTGAACCCACAACCAGGCATGTGCCCTTGACAGGAATCCAGTGCGGGACCCTTCAGTCCACAGGCTCTATCCACAGAGCCAAACCGGCTAGGGCTTTACTCTGTTGTTGTTTTTAAGATTTTTTATTGTTTTTTTAGAGATAGGGGAAGAGAGAGACATCGATGTGAGAGCAAAACATCAATCAGCTGCCTCATGCACGTCCCCTCCTGGGGAACAAGCCCGCAACCTGGGCATGTGCCCTGACTGGGAATCGAACCAGCAACCTTTCGGTGCTTAGGATGACTGTCAGCCAACTGAGCCACATCGGCTAGGGCAAGCTTTACTTTTAATACTGCCTTTCAGAGAAGCAACCCTTAGGAAGTGTTTGGTGCACATACACACACGCACACAATTTTAATTGTATACATTGTAAATAGTTAAGCATCACATGAACATTCCCAATTGGGGCTTCTCTTAGTGGGGACTGTGACAGCATGATGTACATGTTGATGTCCATGTTATGGCAACACATGGCTGAAGATGAGCAGTGCTACCCTCCGGGGGGGTGGCTGCCACAGGCTCCCAGCCTCAGTCATTTCTCATTGCCTGGCCAAAACATTCTCATGCAGACAGAAGGCTCTGTTTAAAACATTAGCCCATGAGTCCTGGCTGGGTAGCGGGTAGTTCAGTTGATTGGAGCATTGTCCCAAATCACCAGGGGTGGGGAACCTTTTTTCTGGCAAAGACCATTTGGATATTTGTAACATCATTCGCAGGCCATGCAAAATTATCAACTTAAAAATTAGCCTGCTATATTTGGTCAAACATTTAATTAACTCACCCTAATGCCGTGGCAGGGCCAGACCACGTGGTTTCAAGGGCCTTATATGGCCTGAGGGCCAGATGTTCCCCACCCTGATTTATGAGGACCCTGCCCTAGGGCCCCAACCCTCCCAGAACCCACAAGGAAGGGGTGGGGGGTGGCAAGGCCACCTCATGTTTAAAGGACTCTGAGTTTGTCAGTCCAGGGAGCTGGAGACTCAAGGAAAATAATTGACAACACCCAGGTTCTAATTGAATCTATTGTGGGGGGAGGATTAGGAGTGAGGGCTTGGGTGTGTACAGGTGATCCAGCTACAGTGTGGCTGTTGGCTTCCCCCAATTCGCCCAGGGGGCCACTCAGGAGGGTGAGGATGTGCGGCCACACTCCCCAGCCAGCAGTGGTCCTGGCCTCTCTGGATGCAAGGTTTCAGCCGGGGCCTGCCCTGAATTGCCCGTGTTTATATCTACACTGAATCCTCCTCTCTGGACCCCAGTGGGCTCACACTTCTGTCTCCAGCTCTAACCTCTGCCTGAGCTCCAGACCTTTAGTCCCAGCTTAACACGTCCAAAGAGCACTCTCGGTTCACCCCACCCTAAACCCAATCTCCCTTTCCTTCTCCACAGTCTCAAACCGACGAGTCTTCTGGACTTCTTTCTCTTCTTGCTGAACTTTCTCATGCAATTCATCGCCAAATCCTCAGTTCTACCTTTAAAATAGCTCGAGTCCAACTGCTTCACGCTCCTCCATGGCTACCACCTGGGTCAGCCTCCATCACCTCCCGCCTGCAGTCTCCTCACTGGGCTCCCAGTGTCCATCCCTAGTAATCTGTTCCCCCACAGGGCAGACAGAAGGCTCTGTTTAAAACATTAGCCCATGAGTCCTGGCTGGGTAGCGGGTAGTTCAGTTGATTGGAGCATTGTCCCAAATCACCAGGGGTGGGGAACCTTTTTTCTGGCAAAGACCATTTGGATATTTGTAACATCATTCGCAGGCCATGCAAAATTATCAACTTAAAAATTAGCCTGCTATATTTGGTCAAACATTGGATTAACTCACCCCTAATGCCTTGGCAGGGCCAGACCAAATGATCTTGCAGACCTTATAGAGCCCATGAACCAGATGTTCCCTACCCCTGCGATACACCAAGGTTTCGAGTTTGGCCCCCGGTCAGAGCACATACAAGAAGCGACCAATAGGTAGCCCTGGCCTGTGTAGCTCTGTTGGCTGAGTGTTGCTCCGTGCACTGAAGAACCGCTGGTTCGATTTCCAGCCAGGGCATATGCCCAGGTTGCGGGTTTGAGCCCAGACCGTGGTACGTACAGGAGGCAACCGGTAAACCAATAGATGTTGCTCACATTGATGTTTCTCCCTCTCCCTTCCTCTCTCTCGAAAGTAGCAATAAAAACATATTTTATTTAAATAAAAGAATCAACCAGTGAATGCATAAATAAATACGTGGAACAACAAATTGATGTTTCTCAATTAATAAAACACACACACACACATACACACATTAGCCCATGAGATGCTCCTGCTAAGAGTTTTCAGTGCACCTGGAATAAAATCCCAACTCTTTGCCCCTGCTCACTTCTCTCTCCATTTGGCTCTGACTCATCCCAGCGCCAGCCATGGAGGCCACCTGTCTGCTCCTCAGACATGGCCAAGTTCCTTCCTGCCCAGGGCCTCTGTGGATGCTGTTCCTTCTGCCTAGAATCTTGCCTACCAGTTGTCTCCTGCACCTCTGGCAGGTATGGCTTAAATGTTACCTCCTCAGAGATGCCCTCCCTGACCACCCTATGCCCCCTTCTAATTTTCCTTCATAAGCCATTCCACTCCACAGCCTATAGATAACCATGTATTGTCTTAAGGGTCTGTTTCCACCACTCAATTTTGAACTCTAGGGGCCTTTCTCTGTTTCCTTCCACCCCATTTCCCCAGCGCCCTCCCTCCACAAGGGGCCTGGTACACAGTAGGCGCTCAATAAATACATGCTAACTGAATGATCACAGGAATCCCGCTGCCTAGCAGTAACTTTCCAAGACCCGGCTGGCCTCATCCCCAGGCCCTGGGAGGTTCCCCGAGGACAGGGCACGGCCAGTGGCGACCTGTCTGGGTCCGGAGCTCAACTGCAGGGTCAGAGAGGCACGCTGTGGGGGCTGGTGCGGCTCCTCTCCTAGGCTGCGGCGCAGGCGGCAGCGGTGCCAACCTCGGCGGATCTCCGACTGCACCTGCAACGGGTAGCGCTGAGTCGGTGCCGGGCACGCCGTTCGCTGTGCTGCCGCCAGAGGGCGCGGGCGGCAGGCCGGGGCTCTCCCTACCTCCTTGTTGATGAAGCAGTAGAGGAAGCTGACCAGCAGGCCCTGTCAAACAAGGCGTTATATCAGGGGTTGGGGACAGGCTTGTGAACACCTCTTTAAGAGCTCGAACCCTTGCCAGGCCCCAGACTACCTCGGCTGCCACTGTCCCGGTTCTAGACTTTTGCAGGCACCTCCCAGGCTCCCTGCTCGCCCCCCCTCTCCTCCCCAGTTTGCTGAGCAATAAAGAGGACCCTGGATGTAATAACCGCTTCCCTAGTTTCTATCCCACGTGGGCAAACTGCTTAACCCCTCCCGGCCTCAGTTTCTTCATCTGGAAAATGGGGTAATACAATGGTGGTTGTGAGAACTGAGATACTGGTATGCAAGAAGCTATAGTGTCTGGTACATAGTGTTAAACCTTTTACTTAGTCTTATGATTTATCTTACCATTATTATATAATATATAATCATTAGTAAATATTAATAAATCATGCTTATTATGATTAATTATTAATATTTGCTTAATTTTAATTAACAATTATTCTAAATTATTGATAAATTAATTTTAATCATTAGTTTTATATTTGTGTTCCACATATAAGTTAAAATAAATAGAAAGTCCATTTATATTTATAATTAATAAGTTACTTGCTAAATTAATGCAAGTCAATTATTTATATGTGTTATTGGTAAAATATTACTTGTCTTATCTCTCCCTTGCTCCACTGGCTCCCACTGCTTCAGGCCCGCCAGCCCTCCTCCATGGTGACAGATACTCCCACCTCAGGGATCTGACATGTGAGCTGTCTCTTACTGGAACACTTCCCCCATTACCTGCCTCGCTCATTCCCTCGCCTTCTTCCATCTTTGCTCCAATATCTTCTTCTCAGGGAGGCCTTCCTTGATCCCCTGCCTGTAACTCTATCTTTTGTCTAATCTTCACCTCTATTTTCTTGCCTTTTCCCCTCAACTCACATCTTACCATCTGCCATTCTGTATATATTTTACTTATATACCATGTGTGTGTATAGCATCCGTCTCTCCTACAAGAATGTAGAGACCATTTCGGTTCTTGGCAATATCCCCACAATGAGCTAGGAAAAGTGTATGCAATAAATGTTTGCTGAATTTAATGACATGAACAGGCATGTGAGGTGAGACAAGTGTTGTGCCCACTTTAGAGATGAGAAAACTGAGGCCGAAGCAGGTAAAACAGGGTGGGGACTAGGGTTAGGGCAAGCTCATGCAGGGCCAGCCTTACATTTTGGAGTGAGTGCCTTCGTGTCTTTTGCGTTCTGAGCACCTCTCTTGCCACCCTAGCTCTGACGGATCTGATTTTGGCCCCAGCCCTGTCCAGTCTCAAAGCCCTAGATCTTCACCAGGAGGCAGTACTGCCAAGGCCTCCGTCTCCTGTCTTGGTCCCTGCCGCTTCCTCAGCTGAGAACAGCACTAGCTCAGCATCCTGTGTAGAATGAATGAACTCGCATAGTCACACCCAATTCAGTGGCTGCGCCAGGGGATGCCTGCAGCCCTTCTGCCCCTCTGGGGAGAAGGGCCCCAGGTGGAAGGGTGCAGCCCCTGCCCCCAGCCTGAGCACCTGGAAGGAGCTGAGGAACATCTGAAAGCCGAGCTTGGCGAAGCGCAGGTGGCCCCGGACTTGTTCCTCGGTCACAGGAGCAAACACCATCTCGTGGACGCCCAGCAGCGGCACCAGCGTCAGGGTGGAGCGAGCCAGCCTGGGAGTAGAGGGAAGCTGTGGTCTGGCGGCCCGGGTCCCTATCTCATGTCCGGCCCTCTTCCCTCCTTCCCCTGCCCTCCCCTACCTTAGCCGGTAGTCCAGGCAGCGCATCTGCCGGGTCCTCAGCTTGGACACGAGGATGCCAAGGATTCGGATAAAGATGAAGAAATTAATCTGCGGGAAAAGATAGAGGCTGAGCCAGCCTGATCCCATCCTGGGAGACAGAGGGTGGCACCCCTCTCCCCCGGATGAGAAATCCCCGAGGACTGCCTGGAGGAGGCGGGGCCGGCCGTACCAAAATGGTCATGAGGATAGGGGTGCGTATGATCCACCAAATGGCCTTGACGTCGTTCCGCTCCCAGCACCTGGAGTAGGGGTTGTAGAGCTAAGAGATTGAAAACCGCTGGAAGCACCGGTCACGCACGTTCACGCGCCGGGTCCCGCCCGCCTTCCTGAATGCCGCACCCACATTCCTCCAGAGCCCCGCCTGCTCCTGCCCTGGCCCCGCCCTCACCACCCCCTTCCAATCTTTCCAAGCTGCCATTCCTTTAGCCCCACCCACGTTCCCTCCAAGCCCCCAGGTGCCATCAGGACCACCCCACGCTTCCATCACACCCGCCCAGGTGCCTGCAA